AAAACTTGTCAAGAAAGAAACCTCATCGTTCTTTAGATGCTTTGTGAAATGGAGATGCTGTATAAAGTACTAATGATAAACACCCTGCAGACAGGCTGAAGTCCTGTAAGTGAAAAACAAACCCCACTAATGTGAAATAGTATATGAAGTGTGATTTCCTAAGCCATACACAAAACTCCCTACACACTATGCCATAAACCATGGTCCTTTTGATATACAATTTTCATTTCTGCAGCTTTATATTGCTGGAATAATGTAAATAGAAGAGAAATTAAAGTAGAAGTTGAACATCCCAATATAAAAAGTTGCAGTATAAAATGCTGCAGGGGAAGTGGAAATAAAATGGTTTACTGGAAGATTGTCAGTATATTCGAGTGTTAGATACACAAGTTACATAAGCAAAGTCATAAACTTTCCCAGAATTACACTGCCAAGTAAATTCAGGTAGAAAAATTAACATGCAAAATACTCTCTAGAAAGCTATTTTGAATTTTAGAACCAAGTAATCTCATGCAGCATAAGAAATGTTACTTGCTGATGCTTATCTGAGACAGGCAAGCAAGTATGAATTTGTACTGCAGGATGGAAGTGCATATAACCATAAACCACCATCTTCTGAAGTGTTCTAAGTTATGTCTGTTAAATGATGAAAAGATACTTCATGTTCCTAGTGTAATAAAGGGGGAAAAAGGGTAATCATGACATTTCTCTATTGGTTTTTGATGAAGCAAACAGCTTTTTTAACTGTGAACTCCTCAGAACAGTAATCTCCTTACTCTTTTAAGTGGTTTGTAAAATAGCATGATTTCCAATACCTTTTATATACAAATTATTTTGTTAATTTCAAAAATTTTCCATCAAAATAGGTTCTTGCTAACAAGACCTACAAAGTTGCTAGCAAAATGAAAGCTGACTCAGCAACAATTGTGTTCATAAGATGACTGTTATTTACCATTACTGCTCAGCTTTGGCCTGGCTAATAAAAATCAAGGTGCAACCAGCTCTTAAACCTTCAGTCTACAATAGGATTTCATGACCTAATCAGTTCTTCAACTAAGAGCAGAAGACCCCTGCTGTTGTTTCAGTACCACTGTATGAAAGGTTGTATCTGTAACTGTTGCTTTTTCTGTTCTAAAAACTGGTGCCATAATTCTTTCCCTCACTCCTTTCTGGTGCTTCTAAGGTCCAACGTTTCTGAAGCACACACAGGCCAGGACACCTGCAAAGAATGTTGTGTAGCAGAATGAGGTTTTAACCTTGCTTAGCACGTTCTGGTGCTGTTCTCACAGATACACTAACAATCCAGAGAGGGAAAGGAAAAGAAAACAATAAAAAAACCATAGTGTAATAGCAGCTTAGTCAAGAGAGAAATAATCTGTGAAAGCTTAATGATTGGAGTTAAAGAGGACAGATGATATGGTACCTCTCAAAACTTTCTGGGATTTTTAAAAAGCTCTTTTGTTCATTCTGCTGCAGAGCTGGTGTTCTAATTGTGCACATAAAAGCTATTTTTACAGCACTTTAACAGCTAAATGCAAATAATGCCAAGAACAGTAGCTGTGTTTTAAACAGCACATGATGGCTCTAATTAATAATTTAATAGCAATAGAGTAAATAGGAAAATGAGATACAGTAGTGGAGAAAGTATATGTATGTATTTGGCAAGCTACTGCAGCCAGACAGAAACAATGCAACTGAGCATCACTTTTTCAGGACTATATATTCATAGCACATTACAAAAAGTCTTCACGTTTTTCAGAGCCACATTCAATTAACTTTTCTTCAGGTTTCTCTGTCAAAACGACTCAAACTTACAATTAAAAAAAACCCGCTTTGTCAGGGCTCTGGTGCAGAAACAGCACTGGTAGAAATAGTTTGTGTGTACCACATCAGGGGCCACTATATTCTGAATTGACTAGACTATCCTAGATGAGGTGTCTGAGCCTGAACAATGAATCTGTGTCACCTCCAGGTCACAGTGACACAGGCAGGCACAGGCTCAGGGACTATTTCTTTCCAGGCCCTGTGGTCTTAAGTCTCCCTTCCCAATGGAAGGAGACTCTAGAAGCTCAAAAAAATGATCTTTCACTTTTTTCCCCTGTCTTTTTCCTCTTTCTCTAATGGAACAGAAAAGATCATTTTTCTGTGCAAATGTTTTGACACAGATTGTGCTCTAGTCAAAACTATAACCATTTGCACATTGTATTTGTATCAAGGCAGAAATGCAGAGCAGTACATTGAACCACATCCATAATCAGCAAGCTTTCAACCCTACATTTTTTCTATTTGCAACAAAAAATCAAGCAATAAATGTCACAAAACTGCATCAGTTCAGATGTTCTTTTTGGGCTTCTAGTTAGAATAATGGTTCCACCCCTCCATCTTGAAAAGAGAAAAGAAAAGACACACAAGAAAGACACCTTGAAGGGTGTTAAACCTAGGACTACAAAACTGAGATGCATCATTGACTAACCAAAGAGATTACTAATACATGAAGTAAGCTTATTTTTAGTCCAAAAGTTTCTTAGAGGTATAAGAAGTGTTTTTTTCTTTCAAGAAAAAGGGATGTGAAGGGAAAACTGTCAAAATTGGATGCTGAAAACAGTCAGTGACTTCCTAGTTATCTCTGACAAGCACAAACACAAAGGATTAACCTGTCTGCTGAGGGCTCCAGGCACACACTACAGTGGCACCTGCTTCATTGGTTTTCTAGTTAAAAAGGGCTGGGAACAGCATGGAAGAAATCAGCCTGTCTGTGCAAGGGAGATGAGTGTAATAGGAATATTTGAAAAAGTAACTCAGAAAGAAAGAAAAGGTCATTCATGACAGAAGAGCACTGGCCTTAATCTACAGAGGTAGAATATTTGCTTTCTGATTCTATTCTTAGAATTTTTTGCAAAGAACTATTGTAATAAAACATCAATATATGGCAAACTCTATAAAGAAAACTGAAGTGGAAAGCATGTCCTTACCTTAAAGGCAAGAAATGAGGCAGGAAATCAAACCAATGGCGTGTTCAGCTGAATGGCTCTAGTTTCTATCAATGAGGGTTGTTAGAGTACTTTTCCCTGTAAAAGAAATTGCTGAAAAGATTAGTGTCTGTGTTGTCACAGCAGTGCACAATTGATGGAGACAGGCACCAATGGCAGACTGATGACATCAGAGTCCTGTGGGGTGGGGAGAACACAAAACAACTACGTGTGCAATTGTCAGAACCTAAATAATACATTGGAATGTTGCCACTGATACATCAATGGTCACTTGCCACCTATGGGCACAGAACCCCAAGGTTTTTAAGAAGAGGACTCAAAGATATCTTTAAACATTTGAGGTTAAAAATTAAATTAATTTATTAAAACTACCTACCATTTATTTCCTAATTAGCCAATTTAGAGATGGAAATAATGGCTTTTAATAAAAGGCATCCCAGATGAAATTTTGTAACTTACTGAAGGGACTGAATTAGACATGTAATCATTCCATTAAATATAAAATTGGTAACAACACGGTCAGAAGGACACACAGTGCTTTCTGAATTTTATCTCCTGTTAACTCCTCACTTAAAGCAGTCAGAACACAGATGGAAGATGTAAAGCTTCTCTTTCTATATAAAAGCTTCTGTGAACAACAAGTACCATTAATTTTAGAGTCCTGTGAGGTGATTTACCTGTAAATGGCTAAGAACTGCTGCCAAAGGATTTTTAATTAATCCCACTTTCAAAATTTCCCAACACAATGAGACAGAAATCTCTGTGGCTGCAATTTGAGACACTTTTTTTGATGAAAACTGGGGGTGGGAGGCAAGATTTTAAGGTGCTGTGAAAAGCATCTTAAAAACCAAAGAGGGGAAAATTAACAGAAGAAGGAAAAATGTGTCTAGCACATTGAATTATAACACAATGAACGAAAAAAAAAACTTAAAAGAAAGCTGAAGCATGCTGCTGTGTATGACAATTCTAGAGACATTACCAGAAGACACCTCTTAGCTATTTTCAAAGCTGTATCTTCCTGCAACCTCCACAAAAAAATTACTCAACTACAACATCTCCTCAAAAAGAGAGCAGAAAGCCACCAAACCTTCTTTATAATCAAGTACCACATCAGTATGTAACAGCCAAGACCTTTTACTGAAGTTAATAAATTGCATTTAACTGTACATTAACTGGAAAGGGGAGGAGGAAACCTCTTTATACAACACAGCTGCAGCAAGTTCAAAAGGACTGTTGAGGCATCATCATGATCAGATAAATTCAAATGGTTTGGGGAAATCAAAGCTACCCACCCAAGACCACCTGTAAACTGTATTTCCTCTTTGTTCTCCTAAATGGCCTGTAAGGTAGAACCCCACAGTACAGCTGAATTTGGTATGCTGAACAGAGATCACTCCCAGCTGGCATGTGGGATCAGTGAAGGGAGTATAGTGCCAGAAGAGAATTGAGTTCCCATAGGTGCTGAGCAAAGGCAGCCAGGTTTACTGCCAGGATCTGTTACCTGCTGAAATGAAGAAGAAAGGAGTCTAGCAGAAGTAAAATATACTGTGTAAAATTGTTAACTTCTATTCTGCAAGTCAAGTCCCTTAGTGGCAAAATATATGATAAGGAGAAAAGATAATAGACTTATTACACTTTTTACTATGCATCCCACCTCAAACTCGGCCACACTGAGACCCCCAATTTAGGAACACTCCCTCAATACCTCTTTCAAACTACCCCTCAGTTTGACAACTTGAAATTCAAGCTGCAGGCAAGGAAATAGAAATTAAAGAATTTTAAAAAGTCCTAAAAAAGAACAGCACAACACCAGTTTTCTTTTATTATGTTACCTGCTCATACTAATAAAAAAGCCAAAATAAATGGATTTTAAATATTTCTTTTATTGACAGTTTTACAAAATTATCCTTAATAAATAATATTTTGAGCAGCACTTGGGACACTTCTTCCTCTGCTTCTTGGTTTTGTATGACAGGCAAAGATAGGAATTGCATTAAGTTCTTTGCATGTTCAGTGTAGTGCAAGAACCTGTTGCTTATCCTCCAGAATTTCTTCCTCATCATCCATTTGGCTTTCATCCCAGCCCCTTAAAAGAAACACACCACAGTAATTTTCAGCAGTTCAAATTCCTCAACCTGCTCTGCCTTAAGCCTTAGTGACATGTGTTCACATATGTAGAGATAAAAGGCATGAAAACAGCTTTTGCTGTATATTTTGCAAATACACATACCTTACAAGCTACTATATGCATTTTTTAAAGAAATAGGAAGTAAATAATATTATCACTATTGTGACTTAACAGAGAAATCCCACATCCTAGTGCAGGAAATCCAGGAAAGTTGGTCTCATTTATACTACCTGTACTATTTGCAAATATTGTACAGTTTTCTACTGACCTGAAATTCTAATATATGAACACCAACATATAAAAAAAACCCCAACCACTAATCTCTGAATCATCTGTATTCACACAGCAAGAAGTTAACCCCCCAGTGCCTCACTGTCCCTTGCTAGTTAGGAGATGGTAGTAAGAAAGCAGTGACAGAATTGAGGGGAATTTCCTTGTTTCCAGTCACCTCCTTAGATCACAGAATGGTTTGGATTATATATCCAAGGCTACATAACAAATATATCCAAGACCATGGTGAGTTAAATGTTACTGGATCACCTGCTCACAACTGCTCTTTTCAACACCTTAGAGTATGTGTAACAGAATATTTGTAACATGAATTAAAAAAATCTCAGAGCTGTGTATTAACAAATTCTAATGCATTAAAAAAAAAACAAAAAACAGAGCTGTGTATTAACAAATTCTAATGCATTTTAAAAAAAAAAACCAACAAAAAAACCCCACATAATCCCAAAAATTAAGTTTGGAGTCTCAACAACAAAAATATATCACTTAATTCCTAATCTCAGCTGCCCAAGAGTCCTGGCTTAGAACACCAAGATACAAAATAGGTCATGCTGACCTTTGTCATCAGCATGTAAAGTACAATCAGAAAGTCAAAACTGTTTTCATTGCAGTTCTGGCAAGATGTCTGACATATTGAGCTTTTTATAATATCATAAAAACTTACTCAGCAAATTTAACATACTTAAGAGTATCAGCTCTGCTGTGGCCTTTTAGCTCCAGATTTTTATGGAAATCTGTAGTATGTCTACATATCTTCTCTGAATGTCTGCTGGAGGAATTTACATCTTCAGTAGTTAAGCTGTAATAATTTTCAGGACCTGAAATATTTTAGGTGATTTCAGGAACAAATAGAAGCCAAAAAATGCAGAATCTGCACTGTCAATTTTTTAAAACTTCACAGCATGAACAAAAACTTGCCATTAAATCACAAATCACATCAAATCTCATCAAATCACATTGAGCTTCTAACACACCCGATGTGTTCAAAAATCCAAGGAAAGGACACCTATTTAAAATAAATGTATGGTCCAAACAAAATGCAAAGGATAAAAAGGAAGCTGCATGAAAGAGTTGGCTTCTACTAAATTAACAGTAGGTTAAAGTATGACCAAATGGAAAGAAATCACTGCTTAACCACAAGAGTCTTCCATCATGAAATGGTTTAGTACATCTTTGCATTAAAATCAATTAGATCTGAGAAGGCAAATGAAACAGCTACTTGTTTTCCTTTTGTTACTTCTAAGCATGAGGGGGATCAAAAACAAGTATTGCCACTTACCTGTACAACTTTGTAATTCCTTTTCCAGAGCAAGTAAGGCTTCTTGGTCAGCAATACATTCCCAAAGACGCACACCTTGTTTAGTTCTATCAAGGCATTTGTGTCTTGGTACCTCAGCATCAACTTCACATACATGCACAGATGAGCTCTTTGGTCTTGCCTGTATGTTTGTTGGACAATTTCCAGTCTGTTTACAATTTAGTGCGTCTGTTGACCAAGGTCTTCTAGAATTATTCCCTGAAATAACAGAAAAGGTGACAACTTCCAATAATTCACGATTAAAGAGAATTTTCTCTCAGCTCATGATTGACAACAATTGTGGTTAAAACTATGAGTAAATCTGAACAGATTATTCATTGTGTTTGAGATTGTGAATGAATACATTTTAATTAAAGTTTACAATTCTATCAGGAATTAGCATCTCCTACTTCAGAGGGATATTTCAGGAGAAAAAAAAATACTTTATTAAAGTATGGAACAAATTTGGGGGAAAACAGAGACCAAAAATGCTTGTAGAAACCTTAAATTTTTAGTTCTGTCATTTTATTTTAATTGAGGACAACATGAATATAACGTAGACAATTTCACACATTTTTCTGGAATTCAAAACTGACAGTTTCAATTTCCATTTGTAGCATTTTTAAAACTAAAACACCAAACTGTTTGCCTACCATGATAAAAATAATGTAAGCCACATGTCTTGGGGTTGAGACAGCTGAAATGGAGGAATGTAACTAAGTGCAGATGCAGTTATGAATCACTTGCTTCCTTGTTTCTTCATGTAGTAAGACTTTCTTTCAGTAGGATGAAGAAATATTTTATTAGCTTAAAACCATATGGTACTAGATGCTGCAAAACACACAGCAATACATATTCTTTTTCTGGACAGTTTAAATATTCAAGCTAAGAGGGGAGTAATGGGGTGTAGGCAGGAGTAGAAACTAAGCACAATAGAAAGAACTATTAGTGACAGGTGGAAAGTGGTAATTTTAACTCAAAACGTGATTCTTATGAAAACAATGCCATTATACCCAAAATACATGGATGAATATAAGAATTACCTACATTCAACAGAATCATCACACACAGCACTTCTACTTATTATGTATGAAAAACTAACCTGTTTAAGTAGGACCTCAAAGCTGTTGCTGTCCTTACCTGGGCATGACCTCTGTGCCAGCATCGGGGCAGAAATTCTATTTTGAATCTCCAAACCACTTGAAGGTCTCATCAACTGACCTTCCAAGACACCTTGAACTACAGAATCATCAGCATTTTCACTTAAGCTCCTTTCAGTAACCCACCTTCCATTTCCTGAAATTAAAAAGTATTAGAGGAAGTGATTTGCAGGTTTTGTGCTAATATACATGTACACATTTAATGTGTGTGATTTGAAGAAGACATTCAACAAATTTTTTTACACATAATGTAAAAAAAGGAAATAAAATCATATATAACACACAAGCTTAAATTCAAGTGATATCCTTGATCAAATTAATATTCATGTTCACCAATATTTTTGCATGTTGATTCATACACAGAATTAAAAGCATGTTTTGGTAATGAATATTATGCACAAAGAAAAAGAAGAAATTCCTACTGGAACAAAATTCTCAGAGCACATACAGCAACATAGAAACATATGCCACTATATTAATGTTAATAATCTCAAGGTACTACCTTTATTTTGCCCTTCCACAGCACCAATTGTGTGTGTTGGCACAGATTCAAGTTGCATGCAGAAAGATGGCTTACAACAAACAGTGATAAATATGTATATTGTTTGAGGATTTTATTGGCACATTATTACCTGGAAATGGTATATCACTGTCCACAGGGGTAGAGTCAGCACAGAGTAAAGAACGTGCTTCAGGCATTAGTTGTTTAGGGCTTGCACCTCCAACAAAGAAACCTTCCAGCCCCCAGTACTGTGTGGAAGCAGATTTCTGTCTTTTGGCTACATCCTGTAACTTGGATAAAACACAGAGATATGAAAATCAGGGAAACAGGAAATGTCACAAGTTGCTCTAGGAAGTTTATAGTAATAAAATGCTTATTTCATAAAACTTATTATTTGGATAGCCTGGTGCAAGAGGTATTCTTAAGGATGATGGGTTTGCATGATACAGGCTTTAATAGCCTATAAACTTCTAATGCTAATATTGAGAGTGAGTCTGTTCTTCCACTTGCACAGGAACAGCAGTTTTTCTTTCTTTGTTTTCCCTTATCTTGTTATACATCAATTAAAGGAAGAACTGCTTAATAATGACTCCAAATCTAATGTTCCAAACCCCTCCATGATTTTTTGTATTAAATTTTAATTTCAGCAAAAGAAATTTAAATAGTTGAGGTTAGAGAAGACTACCTACAATTTTGGCATTCCATCAAAAGGTGAAGTGACCTTGATACTAACATGAGCAGAGCTTCCTTCTCCCCACTACACCTTTTTTATTGTCTTGTTTGCTCTTTCTTTTGCCTTTTTTGAACATCAACAGAAGACTGACAACACAAAGGGAAAAGCACAGAGGCCTTTATCCCCCATATAAAAAATATAGTAGGCAGTGACAATCCTCCAATTAAAACTATAATCTTGATTGCTTTGGGGAAGGGATCCTGGAGGAGAATGGGGAAAAGCAGTAGAGTATTTCATGGTAACCATACAACTGTCACTCTCAACTGATTCAGGAACATTGTTGCCTCATGCTAAACTGGGAAAGTAGATTAAGCAAGAGATTATCTATTTAGCAATCAAAGATTTAGTATTTTACCACTGAATGCTTTGTAATTACAGGCAAAACCAAACTCTGGTTGTTGCAGACACTGTCCAGCTCTTGTGAATCTTTATGGATTTTCTGCAGTTGTGTCTCAAGGAGGAATTTATTGCTCATTAGCTCAGAAGGGTTAGAGATCTTCTCAGGTAGTTCTCTCACAGTCTGTAGCTCATCACTCTCCTTTTGCACAGCATTTCTTTCAAGATGACTGCAGACAACCACTTTTTCTACAAGAGTAAAACAAAGTCATGGAAGTGGGAATTACTTTTCTTTAATGGAAATGAATATGAATATGAAACCTGCAAGTCTACTATATTTTCTTTGTGAACTTAAACCATGAAATCTCCATTGCAGTTACCCCTAAACCATAAAATTACAAGCAAGAACTGTTAACTTTCATGAGCTTCCTGCCCTGCCAGATTTTACTGAGATGCCACTATACAGGGTCTGGACTAACCAGGGAGTAGAAGCAATTCTGTATCTGCTGGATGTGTTCCTGTACAATATTGTGAAAACATTAGACCTTGATAATAATCCTAACACGTTTCCTACTACTACTTCATGCTAATGTAATTTTTTTGTACATTTACAATGCTATAATCTAACCAGAGCCAGCCTAAGAACTGCCACAGCAGCAATTCCATTACCTTTCTTTAAAAAGTAGTATAATGGTTTGAAATATGTACTATCAGGCTGTGAATGATTCTGCAAGCTGGTTTCCTTTGTTTATATAAGACATAGCCATTTTATTTTTTTATTCTGTGCCCAAAGAAGCACATAAATCACATCTCATTAGTCAGCTCTTGTTTGCTTTTTCACATTTTAACTTTAATGAGCTGTTTCTTGAACTAAGCACAAAGAGAAGAAGTGATGGTCCCAAAGTGCTGAAGTAATTGTTCAGTACTTGCAAGAATAAGAAATCAAGTACCTTTACATTCCAACTGATTTCCTAATATTCAAAAAGTGACAACATACTTTATGTAGTTCTAGGGCACAGAGCAAAATCTTTGGGACCCCTTGGAAGTGCTATAAAATAAATTTGCCAAACTTTCATGGTGATTTCACTGACATGCAATGGGGACTGGAATACTTATACACAAATTATGAACTTTCATTCAGAACAGGTAAGTATTCAAACAGTTTCTCAACCTATCTATTCAAAAGCATTTTTTTACATAAAAAGAACACACACCATACATTAAATCTAATGCACTAAAGACAAACAGAGATATTTGTACAATGGGTTTGTATTCAGTACAACTCATATTGGGGCAGTCTCTCCCTCAAATATGAGCTCACAGCTGTGAGATTGCTGTCACAGCTGACACTTAGTATTTCAAAATAACTTGCACAGTCCATGAAATTATGGTCAGAGCACCTGCATAGCTCAGGGAATGGTACAAAATTTAACAATCTTCAATTTTACTTTTTTTTGACAACCACCACAGTTGACTACCACATCCCATAAGAATGATAAAACTGTATACACTTATGTAGATTGTAAAAATAACTTGTAAAAATTTACCTTGAGAAATTTCTTCAGAAGAAATGGGATTTCTGTCAAGAGAAAAAGGTAAAAATAATGAATGTTGGATGTGGAAGTTAAATGATAAAATAACTCTCATTATGCTCACAGTTTGTCTTGGCAAAAGTTCTGGTGTTGTTCTGATCTGCAGCTGCTGAACTACTTTGAAATGGAGCAAAGAGGAGAAAGACCAGAAGAATAAAATATAACAAAACAGATGACATCTAATCAGATATAAATTTTGGGACACTAGAAAAACTGCACATATATCATTGATTATGAGGACTCAGTTTTGCCTTCAACTACAAGATTAGTTGAGTGAGGGGCAACTGGGCAACACTGCCCCATTACAGATTTGCCTGTATGTTAGTCCCTGCTCCTTCTCAGATAAGAGAATACAAAACAGAAATTCTATCTGTAATTCAGAACATACACAAACAAAGAAATCATGGTGAAACATTCGAGTGATTAAGCAAAACAAACTAAAAACATTTTAAAGTGATGTCTCCCTAGTTACAGGCAATTAATACACGTTGGTGGCTCACTGACAAAGTAGAAGACACAAACTAAGTATTCACTAAGGGTAAAAGTGTTTTATGCCCATTAACTTCTAGACAGTTCTGAGAGTGCCTTACGAATTAATCCTTAAATCCTCAGGTCATTCAAATGAAGACTTTCAAGCAGAAAACAAGCAATCACAGCCAGGATCTTGGAAGAAATGCAAAGGAAGGGAAAGTAGTAACTGTCACATGACAGTGGCACAGTCTGTATCTTGCACCAAAGATGAGAACATGTGTCACCTCACCATGCCTTAAAAGAATTTACAGTCAAGGATTCTCTGCAAATAAAAGTACCTGCTCTTTACAAATATAACTGAGTTAAATGATATGATTATTCCCTTTTCTCTTCCAAATACCCTCTGCATTTCTGGTACCTTTCAAACTGCTCCGGTGGTTCATTTTTTCCTTCCTTATTCATTCCCATATTCATTTCCTTCCCATTCATTTCAGCTTCAATCACCAAAAAGTTAGATGATTCTTCCAAGTCCTTGTCATAATACTAATTAAAAACCAAAACATAAAACTCCATATTCAACAATAGATTAAAACTCTACATCAAGTAATTTAAACCCTGTTGATTTTATTTTTTTGTATCATTTCTGTACAGTAAAGGTCCCTGGAAACAGCAGGAAAAAATTAAACAGAAACTTCTGAAAGCTACATTTTCCACATTTGTATGGTAAAAAAAATGCACCACTTTCTAATTAGAGATTATTTAGCTGCTATTTAACAGAACAATATTTGAACAAACCACTTTGGATCACAGTGAAGTCTCTTGAAGTCCTTCATTATGTACTTACATCATCAAGGAACTCAATTTTCAAAGAAGACTCTGCTCTTTCAGAAACAGTGTCGGGTACTTCCTCTCTAAAAACAGAAGTCCAGTATCTCCTCACCTCTTCAGCTGTGAAATACAGTAAATTTGCTGCATTTCATTTTTTCCTGAATTGTTCAAGATTCACTTATATAAATGCAAACTTTTTCTTTATAATGAAGTACCATATATTTCTCCTTTCATTATTGTTACTTTCATTAAGCAGAAACTGCTTAACTACATAACTGTTCAACAATCATAGAAAACAATAACCTTAAGTATTTAATAGTCAGATTCAATGAATAGAAATCTGTTAAACCTGTTAACTCATCGATGTCATCATCTCCTTCTTCCCCACTTTCAATCACAGCCTGATGTACACTCAGTGTTTCCACAGGCCTTAAATCTTTAACACAACTACCCGAAGCTTCATCAATAGCAGCTCTAGAAAAGGAAAAGAAACCTATCTTAACAAGTCATCATTGTTTTAATATATAATAACACAGTCACTTAAAAGAAAACCAGAAGATCACACTACTTCATGCAGCAGTAGTAACCGCTGCTGAAATGAAGCAGCTCTGCCTAATTTCATTGAGATGACCTCGCACCTCAGGGACTAACTAAACAACTCTGTAATGCTTATAGACATATCATATGGCCTTTTCTCAATAAAACTCTGTCCCAAAATCAAGCACCAAGTATCATTACCAGTCCTCAAATTTTATAATAAACTGCTAGCATAGAGAATCCCCCCAAATACTACCTCGGCAGTAATTCCAAAATACTAAGTCATCATGTCTGGTTATCATAGTTATTTCCTTAAAATAATGCACTGTGTCTACAGACACCTTAACTCTTGACAATATATCTAGGATTTTTAAAGTTACAATGTTGTGGGTTTTTTTTAATGTTACTAAGTATTTCTGACTTCTTTCATTAGTACCAGCAAATTCTACAATACCTTCTGTATTTCTTAAGCAAGAGCTTCTCCATGTAGCTCAGGCCACCTTTCTTGAACTCAATTTGGACAGGTTCCTTCAGAACAATAAGATTGGTCTGTACCTCACAAATGCCCACAGATTCTGTTAGAATTATTTAAAAAACAAAACAAAACCAAAAAACACCAGCTATTCAGATTTACAAACTTGCTGTTCAACTACATTATTTTTAGATTAATGCCATATTAGTAGGCCATGCCTAGCTAAGTCTTTGCACAATTTCAAAATGTAAATGGCCAGCAGTACTATATTTCTACAACCCAGTCAGTAGTAAGAGTAGTCAGGAAAAACTAATTTATTACAGCTTCTCACATAAAGGAAGATCACCACATTTCGGGGGGGGGACAGGACTCTACAGAGCCCATGACTCTACAGATAAAAATCCCACCACATAAAAACAAATCACTATATTATTTTTTACACAAAAATACAGAGAATGAACCTCATCCATGGACTAAAGAGACTAGCCTGCATAAATCAAATCACACCAGAGGTTTTTTTCATACTTCATACTGGATACTTCAACCAATTGCATCTTTTCTCTGGGACAAAGAAGGTTGTTGGTCATTTATAAACAAACAGAGAGAACATTCACCTTCAGTAATCAAAAATCTGCTACATCACAAAAGTGATTCTTTTTTTTTATTATGCAATTAAAACAGGAAAAAAAACCCAACATACCTGGTAAGACATTACTGGGATGTAGCTGTTCTCTGTGGTCACCATTACCTTTTCTCCATTGAAGCAAAGCTTCCTGAAAAAACTGTGCAGATTCCTCCTCGTTAAACGTACCATTTAGTAATAATCCTTTGTCCTGATTTTCAAGGTCTGTACAGGTTGATTCTGAGGGCAGTTCCTAAATCAGTTCCACAACATAATTAATACAGCACTTCTGATGATAATCCTCTCTGCAGTTACATGCAAGAGCAACAATTTGAGTGTCAGCTATGGAAATGTAGCACTCTGTTTTCTGGGTTTAGCCCAAATACTCTGGTAATCAAGGTCACTCAATTTTTATTAGGTCTTGCTGACAACTAAATTGCAATATTATATCAAAAACAGAATAAGAAAAGCAAAAATTGTAATATGCACACAAAAAAACCACCACTGAACTTAGATTCTACAATAAAGTGCAGCAGCCCTGGATAGCCCACATCCGACATACAGGATGGATTTTATGTCTCCAGACATGGAGAAGGGTCAGTGGGCTATGCCAGGCTGACAGCCTGAGCCCTCACTTGGCACACAGTGGAAAAATTTAAGACCAATCTACTTAAGAGGTCATAAAAAATAAAGAGACATTTATTTTTCCTTGAACTGTACACTACCTCAGCACTGTCTACTGACAGTAGGCGAGATGAAAACTTGTCTGTTGTGACCTGATGTTTGCTATTTACTTTCTTCTGCTCATGACTGACTTTCAATTTGTTCAGATTTACTTCCTTGATGAAGTGATCAACAGCTTCCAACCTTGCAACATGTGTATCAGCTTCTGTCTGTTAACAAAACATTGCGAAACCTTTTTTAAAAACATAGTCAAACATTCCACCCAACACCGTATTAAGAGCAGGTTGGCAACTAGATATTGAAGAGAGATGGTTACTTGAACACATAATAATTTCAATAACCAATGGTGTGCAAATGTGTGAGCAAAAATTCAGTAATCAAAATATTGCATTAGGTACTACACAGGGCAGACTAAGTGAGGCATTTTATGAAGTACATATCCAAACAAATTAATGAGCTATGCACTCTATTAATGAAGTTCTGCTTACTAAACCTTTCCAGTAGACAGAAGCATATCTATAGAGGTCAACAAGAGGAAAACATTCACTTAAGGATCTAACTGAAATATCTGTATACACACAAAAAATAGTCTATGAAATTTCAAACTATAAAGGACTAGATGAGTTTGACGGAAAATAACAACAGAGGAGAACAACAGTTTTGCTCACACTGGGACTTTACTGATTTGCAACCTTCATTCAAAGGAAGAAAATCACTGCAAAAATGTAATCTGAAAGTTTGGGTTGTCAACTCTCGAATGATTATTAAGCAAAGCAAAAAAATATTTTACATTCATCCTTTTGGTAGGTCCTCTCCCTGTCCACAGAGACCATCCTTTGTCTATAAAATCCTCAAGTAAGGAGCACACCCTTATCCCCAAAACACAAGAGCAGTAAAGATACAGGCAGGAAAAGCCATCAGCTATGTCAAGTAGCAAAACTAGAATCTCCTCACACCACATCTCCTCCTTTCTGTCTACTCCACACTATAATCAACCCAGTGATCTTGCAGTTGCTTTGTCCAATAAATAGTACTTGCCACATGCCAGGAATTACGTGTGGAAAACAACTGCTTTGAACAGCCCTTACTTCTTTTCCTCTGATTCTTACACTGCATTGATGAATTCACAGGATTAATAAGGTTCAAAGTTTATGGTATAAATATACTTGCTTTGTCTTCTTCATCCATCCTAATAGCCTATAATCACTTATAATAGCAAGTCTATTTTTCCCAGCAGCAACATGTAACTAACACACGTGGGGACCACAGAATCACATACTCTGCCATTTCTGTTTCCTTTGGCACACACATTGAAAAGCACATAGCTAAAGACTGTGTTGATTTCTTCATCACCACATGAAGAAAACAATCTTAACAATAAAGTAGAAATGACATTTCTTTCAAGATGATCATTTTATTGATGTAGCTTGATACATGTACTTTCTTTGAGCAAGCACAGTTGCGTTATTCATGGTTCTTTTTGGTAGAATGTATTGTAACAGATCAATATCTGAAAGGCTCACCCTGCTGTGTTATTTGTATAAATAACATCAACATCTTCTCTCAGATTTTGCTCAATTGCCTCCAAGTACTTACATAAGAATTGCAAAACTGATTCTAGAGAATACCTGCAAAGCTTATTTGTTTTGACCTCATGTTAGGCTTCCAGCAGCTCAACTCAAATACTAATTTTCTCCTACTTTGATGTCTAACCAACATAGACATCCCTCTCTGCACCCTTTTGTTAGCTCCCTTTATTAACAGAGGCAGTTTCTAATTAGCTTCAGAGCAGGACTGGAGAGAGAATATAGAAGAGGACAAGTAAAAGGGGATGAGGGCATCAAGACAGCTTAAGATGGAATTCTCCTGATGCAGACAGAATGATCATAGAACTCCATGATTCTCAGTTTAAATCCTTGTATTCTTCCAATTAACTGCTCCATGGCCTTAATCCCCACAATAAACTTCCAACATCTCAATCCAGTTTGTTTACCACCAAAACCGAGGTAACTGGCTTATACCTTAAACAAACAAACCCTACCTAAAATAAAAAGCACTACAAATGGCAAGATTTATCATTTTTTGTCTCAATATTGCAACCCCCCAGTTCTCAGTTATAGGTCTAAAAGATCTGCAACAGTCTAATACAAAATAATCCTAAACACTCTGCATTTAGTGTGGTGAAATATTTTTATATCCATGTAAAACAGCTCATGGAAAATCTTTTTTATCCACTGCATAACTCAGGATAACACATCATCCCAAAAAGATGATTTATTACTGTTTTTTCATCACTCCTTTTGTAACTAGGAAAACATAATGAAATATCCATGGACATCACTGAAAAGTAAAATTTCCCTTCAGAAAGAACCTCATATAGTAGAACTGAAAGTGTTAAATCAATTTACACTTAATCAAGATCCTATCTTTATTTTTCTATCCTTACATTAGCTTACAGCCTCACAATAAATTTGATCCTTTGTCATCATAACAATGATATATGAATCCAAACACTTTTTCATAAAAAGGTCCTGACATGATTTCTTGTTGATTCATTTAACTCTAGCTATAAATCAGTTATTAACACAGGAATGAAAGAAACTGAAAACAAGCATAATAACATATATTTGGAGAGGTACTACAAGGATAAAATCAAGGTGTTTCTCAAAATGAAATCTGGAATATCCTTAGAAGAAGAAAAGCAGTGGTTTTCTCTGAAACTTAAAATCCAAAATGCATGTACAGTTTGGTCCAAAAAGAGAGTTGTTACAGCCCATTTATGAAATGCAAAAACAATGCATAAGAAGCTGAAGTTTGTTACAATTAAGTGTTGCACAATCGTTCTAGCAGAAATCTTTACTACCCTAATTATAATATTGTTCTTGTTTCATAACACACGCAACATAAAGCTGTATGTTAGAAACTAAGTATTACTGAGGTGAATAATAACAAGTCTCCACTGTGCTATATTACATTTTATTTTCATCAGTTTATTCCTTGGGAAGTGGAATCCAAGTATGAAAGAACCGGGAATGCCAAAAGTGGCGTCTGACAGAACAGCCACAAGTAGGAATTCAGAGTTCCAAGCTTCATTACATTTAAATTACAAACAACACAGACTTTTAAATACAGTCCCAACAGTATATAATTGCCTTTGATGAGCAAACACACACCTTGGCCATTTTTAGTACTGAGGTGGGTGTTGTTTTTTTTCTAAAATGCCTGACATCCAACAAGCTGAAAAAGTCTCAAACAATTCACTAGTAACAATCATTTCCAAGAGCCTGTGGGAAAAGCCCCTGATCCAGCCACCTGTGCCTTACCTACCACCGGGGGAGTTTAGCTCAGGATTCCACGAGGTGTGTGGAACCAAAATCCGTCCGGGCAAGGATATGATGCTTTTTTATTCAAGATGTACTGAATAAAACAGCTATGCTATTTGCTTCTAGGAAAAGCTTGTTTTTAAACTGAAAAGCTTCCTACCGAGCAAGACAGGCAGATGTGCTGGTGTGGAACTAATCCCTGAGCAGTGCGAAAACATGGGTCTGTGTCACCCACTCTGGGATGGAGAATGACGTATTCGGAAGCCCAGCTGCACCTCAGTTGAAGGGTGGGGGTTAAGGAAAAGGCACAGGGCAGTTCTTACTAAAAGTAAGGGGTTTCACCTGCTACTTGTAACGTTTGAGGCGGCAGAGCGGCTGGGAAGGGACAAGAGGCGGCTGCGAGGGGCTCCTGTGGGGGCGCAGCGCCCCCTGGTGGCGCAGCTTGATGACATCCCAGTGGCTTTGGTACCAGGCAACCTTAACAGAAATTTGAATTCCACAGGTATTTTTTTCCTAAGGAAAACCATTTACAAGACACCCAGACATGAAATATCTGCTCCTTTTTGAGTGTCAGCGCTTCCAGCTGCTTTAATTTGCCATAAAAGCAACACAAATATATCATGCCATTTATTATGGAGCTGGGGGGGCGGGGAGGATGGAAATCTTTTAAGGAGAGGTGCTAGTTTTATTAAGAATAACATTCTTATTCAACAATGGAACTACTCTCTTTGCACAAGCTACTTTGAAATTCGGTTAGTATGGGGGCTCTAGCATATTTTGGAGGTCAGGTTTCTATTTATACTTGCTAAACGGTAAAATTTCTCCATTACATATAAATCACCTCATGCTTGATAATATCCATTCCCACTGTAACACAGTCAGCAAGTGCCAGCTCAGAATGTACTCAGAATTAAGAATGTGCCCTGGTGCTTATCAAAGTATTTAAAATTACAAAATATTCATGGACCACTCCATTTTGCCCTGTTTGCCTGCAACCATACATCTTACTTTAATCATATGGTAGTGTTCTTTAAGTAGATCTGTCTTCTTCAGTTCTGTTCACATGCTGTGCAAATTAATAAAAATACAGCCTAAAGATACTCCCTGTTAAAGAACTGATAATAGTTCTGATAACAGAATCATTTGATCTGTTCCCTTGCCACTCAGAGGGAGATCAGCACATAAAACCTCCCTTTACCTAGCGAGCACTAAGTAGTTACCACAGTGAGAAATCCTTGAATTACAGTGAATATCACCAACAGAGTTTGGAAAACGGGTGAAACAAACATACTATTTTAATTTCAATTGCAGTAAGATAAGACATTTAAAGAAATAGGATCAAATTAAGCTCAGATATGTAATTTTTTTCTTCAAGTTGCTGCACATCCAATAGTCAATATGGCACCTCAAGCTGACCATCTTAGAGAAGTCTTATTCTTCCCAGCAGAACAAACTGCAAAAATAAGGTATTAAATCTTTTCCAATTCACCAGAAAAGCTAAGGATGAACGTTCCAAAGAGCTGCTTCACTTCATACTTTCCCAAGTAGCAATACTGCCATCAAAATTACTCCTTTTCACAGAAGGAATGGAGGCATCTAGCACAACAACATCCAGAGACAGCCACAGCACACCTGCACTGCACAGAGCAGCTACTGCACAGAAACCTAATGTGGTATTCAGACCTGCACATCTTTCTAGGCATGTATTTTCATATATAGGTCCTTTCATGAAGGAGCCTGGAAATGAATTCCAGGTCAGACTGCTTGTCTCTGCAGACCACACAGCTTGCAGCCTGGACAAACCTGAGGTAACTCATTTTACAACATACTGGACTCTATAGTGTACATACATCTAGATACTGCTACAAAGCTCCTAGATATGCATATTATATTCTGTTGCTACCAAGTACCTTTTAAGATATTGACTTACCAGCAGTGCACTCTTAATTTCACACACTCCACATGCCATCTCCTTCACTTTAGATTTTTCATGAGCTACAGCCTTTGCCATTTCATGCTTAAATGGTTTTTTCACTGGCTCTGGAAAAAAACAAAACAAACTTAAATGCAGTACTCCAGTCCCTGATTTCTTTATTGCTTAATTGCAGCAACCTTCAAGAGCCAGATATTCTACCAGAATTTCTGAGGTTTTAGTTTAACAAATATGTCTTTACCTTGAACATGTTCTTTGAGTATTTGTAGCCTCACTTTTCCTGAAGAAACCTACATGGAAGAATATTTACATTTAGAAACACTAAGGTACTGGAGTATGAATATTACATTAAATTTAATAGAAGCACAACTTTTCTAGAATTAAAATGTCACTGTTTCTTGGAGAATAGCTAAGCATGTATTTGAAGAGAAAATATCTATTATTCACGATAGCTGTTAAGTCTGTGACCAGTTTCCCTTTCCACTTGTGCAATGACACTGTCCTTGTTTGCCCCGCCAGGTACGCAGCACATGTTTTAGACCTGCAGAACTTTGATAACTATAGTGACTTCAAACGTCAACAAGTGAAATCTACTGCATATATAATCTGCACATACATCTAACTACAGTTGGGGGGGGGGGCCAGTACTTTGTTTTACTTCTGCTTCTCCTCCTCCTCATTACCCTTCCATGATCTAGCACCTCAGTAACTAATCATTTTCACTTATTTGTACCTTAGTTTTTC